ATTTATTCTGGTTTTCTCCACAGGCAATTGAAAATAATTACACCATATACATATTTTTTAAAAACAAGACAGTTCCCAAATTATGGACAATTTGAATTTGTATGTAAGTTGATATAGGTACATTCTTAAAGTGTACCTCATATATATATATGTATGTGTGTGCCCCTCTTTCAGCACACTTTGTATCCTTGTGATAATTGGATTTGGAAAATTTGTCATGTTGTGGAAACAAGGATTGATGGGAAAGCTTCAGTGGGAACCATGGGGATATCTTTTCCGCATGGTAACTATTTCAAGAGTGAATTTTCCTTCCTAGGGGAAGATTCCTCTCACTTCCTGTTGTCTCACCTTAATTTGCAAGTCGAATATTTGTAACTTGGGGACTGCCTGTATAGGTAAGGCATACCAAAACTTAGTATTAAAGAAGTAACTTAATTGTCTACAGAATTATAAACAACTGGTGTGTTGTTGTTGTTGTTCATTCGTTCAGTCGTCTCCGACTCTTCGTGACCTCATGGACCAGCCCACGCCAGAGCTCCCTGTCGGCCGTTACCACCCCCAGCTCCCTCAAGGTCAGTCCAATCACTTCAAGGATGCCATCCATCCATCTTGCCCTTGGTCGGCCCCTCTTCCTTTTGCCTTCCACTTTCCCCAGCATAATTGTCTTCTCTAGGCTTTCCTGTCTCCTCATGATGTGGCCAAAGTACTTGAACTTTGTCTCTAGTATCTTCCCTCCAGTGAGCAGTCGGGCTTTATTTCCTGGAGGATGGACTGGTTGGATCTTCTCGCAGTCCAAGGCACTCTCAGAACTTTCCTCCAACACCACAGTTCAAAAGCATCGATCTTCCTTCGTCAGCCTTCCCTAAGGTCCAGCTCTCACATCCGTAGGTGACTACAGGGAATACCATGGCTTTGACTAGGCGGATCTTTGTTGCCAGTCTGATGTCTCTACTCTTCACTATTTTATCGAGACTGGACATTGCTCTCCTCCCAAGAATTTCTAACAATAGATTTCCTGGCCACAGTCTGCATCTGCAGTAATCTTTGCCCTAGAAATACAAAGTCTGTCACGGCCTCCACACTTCCTCTATTTTCCAGTTGTCAATCATTCTTGTTGCCATAATCTTGGTTTTTTTGACGTTTAGCTGCAACCCGGCTTTTGCGCTTTCTTCTTTCACCTTGATTAGAAGGCTCCTCAGCTCCTCCTCGCTTTCGGCCATCAGGGTGGTGTCATCTGCATATCTGAGGTTGTTAATGTTTCTTCCAGCAATTTTCACCCCAGCCTTGCATTCATCAAGCCCCGCACATCGCACGATGTGTTCTGCATACAAGTTAAAAAGGTTGGGTGAGAGGATGCAGCCTTGCCTTACGCCTTTCCCAATCTTGAACCAGTCTGTTGTTCCGTGGTCAGTTCTGACTGTTGCTACTTGGTCCTTGTACAGATTCCTCAGGAGAGAGTCAAGGTGGCTTGGTATCCCCATACCACCAAGAACTTGCCACAATTTATTATGACCCACACAGTCAAAGGCTTTAGAAATGTCAATAAAACAGAAATAGATGTTATTCTGAAACTCCCTGCCTTTCCATTATCCAGCGGATATTGGCAATCTGGTCTCTCGTTCCTCTGCCTTTTCCAGATCTTGGGTACAGTCCCTGAGAGGTGTCTGCCCCAGGTTCCTTGTGCCCATGAAAGTGGATGAGACTGGAGACAGGCTTCCCCTGTGGATGTCAATGCCTGGACAGGCTCATATGGGAAAAAGCAGTTCTCTAAATTGTCTTGACAAAAGTCATATGGCACCACTCAACGGAATATCATATACCACATGCTCCCACCCACTCTTGCGTCTATAGTAGGACAGTAAATAAGAAAACTAGCAGATGGTGCACCATAGGCAGACCATTTGCTTGTAAGTACTGTTATAACATTAAAATGAACAATTTGTATGTTTTCAATAATGACGTATATTGCAGTCTTTTACTTCAGATATGCCCGCATATTGTTTTTGTAATTCCCTAAGGAAGCCTTAAAATATTAATAGGCCAAAGCACATTAAATTTTCCAAAATTAAATGCTCGTTGCTGTATATTCATTCAGTTGCTTCTGACTTTGTGACCTCATGGACCAGCTCACACCAGAAGTCCCTGTCTGCCGTAGTCACCCCTAGCTCTTTCAGAGTTAAATCAGTCACTTCAAGGATGCCATCCATCCATCTTGCCCTTGGTCTGCCCCTCTTTCTTTTTCCTTCCATTTTGCTCAGCATCATTGTCTGCTCTAGGCTTTCCTCCCTTCTCATTATGCAGCCAAAATACTTCATCTTTGCCTCTAATATCTTTCCCTCCAGTGAACAGTTGGGGTTTATTTCCTTTAGTATGGATTGGTTGGATCTTCTTGTGGACCAAGGCACTCTCAGAATTTTCCTCCAACACCACAGTTCAAAAGCGCCTTTCTTCCTTCACTCAGCTTTTCTTATGGTCCAGCTTTCACATATGTAGGTTACTATGGGGAACACTATTGCTTTAATCATGCGGATCTTTGTTGCCAGTGTGATGTCTCTACCCTTCACTATTTAAATGCTAATCAAATAATTAATTAAATGCTACCATTCAGATTTGAGGATGCACCTCTTTCATATCTGTTATGCAATTATAAGAATGACAATTTCAGTTAACAAGGGTGATTTGTTGCTAGGATAGACAATTGTCTCACGTTCTATTCGTTATAGGTTTTCTTGGAAATAAATTGCTTGTTTTAGGGTTCATGTTGCTTTCCTAATTTTGATGGGTTCAGAAGAGGGTTTAAATTGTGTTGTTTCCTCCTTTTGGCACATATTGGAGAAGTGACATCTACACAAAACAAATTTTCCATTCCATATGCATATGCACATCTGGTTCTTGGTGCTTATATATTGGGCATATTCTTACTCTTGAACCCAAAATACATATGTGGGAATGGGACATTTTTATACCTGGACTATATATTTAAATTCTCACAAGGCCAGAAAACAGTTAAGAAGTCACTAAGTGCAAATTCTGCCTGAATGCAAACTAACATATGTAAATCCTCTCATTTTCTCTTAAGATATTGCTGTTTTTTTTAATCAATCTTCGTTTCAGGTTCCTACAGACATTTTTTTTTCTTGAGTTGTACTAGCACATGTTGCTGTGCTATAAAATATGCAAGCAACTGTCATATTTACTAACTGAAAGAAAACCAAGTGTCACTCAGTGAAGGAAACTATGTCAAGGGCATTGTTTAGATAAAGAAGATGCACTCTGCTTGCTTTTCATGCTGCCATTGGTATGAAATACTCTTTTACGGGAGATAGAATCAAATACTCTATTTTTCTTCAAAAGTTTATACTATTTAAAAACTGTGATAAATGCACTGATTGATTGATCACACTAATCCATCAGTTAATGCTTTTAACTTTAATAAAACTGTAAATGGATAATTGGGAGGAATATCATTCCCCAGCAGAACTGCTTTGCAATAAATTCCTCCCATCTATAAATCTGTTCTTCAATAGAAATTTATGTCCCACCTTGCCCTGTAGACTTAAAAGTGATTAAAGGAGCATGGAATATAAATAGATGTAAAGATATGTACTAAAAATTGAGCATGGAAACTTGGGAGTCTATATCTCTCCAAAGTCCATAACATTTTGATTTGTACATTTCTATAAATTTCAAATTTGTGCATTGCAATCACTTCTGGATGGATCAATAATTTCTTTAGCCTGACTGCAGTATTCTTGTGCAGTATTCTTGTGCTGTTTATAGTTTTGCATCTTATTTATATACAGTTATGAGTAAAATCATACATGTAGCTGAACATAGTAGTTGGCGATGCTCGTTTGCTTTTTTTTTTTTTGTTCAATTAATTTATAACCTGCCTTTCTCCCATTGGAGACTGGTAAAATGTCCAATTCATATTTTCCATTGCATTGCATTTGAAATGTTTTTGGTTATTACTTTTTTAAAAGCTTTCGGTACCATTTACAACGTTTATAAAAAGAATAACTATAAACAGATAAGCTAGTTAGCTATGTGTAATTAGCAAACAACAAAGGAGCATATCCTTGGCCTCCACAATCCTACGTTATTACTGTGTGGGCAGCAACTCCTGTGATTGATAAAGGTCTGTTCTCTTGTCAGTCAGGGCAGTAGAGTGACATTTTCACTTCTCCTACCAGTGATCTCCAGTGTGACAATCAGAAGCAAGAGAACTGTTGCAGTTCCTCCTTGAACTGAAGATTAGTTACACAACGTGATAGAAACATCACTCCACTGCATCCTGTTGGACAGGAAAAGGGAACAGCTTCTGTCTAGTAAGGCAGGACTGGAGAGCTTTTACAACCCCTACACAATCCCTATATGATTGCCATGACTTTGAGTATGTATCAATTCAAAAGATATAGGGATGAATAATCCACACACATTTGTAACAAAGATTTTAAATTCCAGCTCTCAATCATAATAGAACCAAGAGCGCACACACAAAAAAGGAAATAAACTTTCATCCTTACTTTGCACTGCAAATTGCAGTCACATTGGATAAATCACATCCACACCAGTATCTTCCATTAGAAGTTGAGATAAACTGGAGGACCTAGAGATTCCTAGAAAGAACACATTTCTAGGAGTCTCTAGGTCCTCCAGGGTGATTCTAGTCCTCTGAGGTGATGATATAATTACTGTAAAGGACTAGAGATTCCTAGATAACTGTTTCTCAGAAAAAAATAAAATATTTTTTTTCAAAATGTGCAGTTTTCCCACTTTTCACTCCCCTAAACCCATCAAAGTGGAGCATCTACTGTGTATGTGTATTTCTGTGTCTCTGTGTGCAGGTATATGTGTGTGTGTACATGCATACATACACAAACAAACACACATATCGAAAATAATACATATTGAAGTTCTAATAGAAACCACAAAATCCTGAAGTCTAGTCTTGCCCAATCACCAATCAAATGCTTATTTGAGAAAAGGGCATCACTTACGAATATTGCAGAGGATTCCATAGTAGCCTGGCAGGCAGCCACACTTGCCAGTGACATGGTGGCACTCTTCATTCTTTCCAGAGCACTGACAGAGTTGGTTACAGTTCTCCCCATATGTGCCTGGCAGACAAGCTGAGGGAAGAGGAAATGTAAACCAATGAATTACATTTGTCTTGATAAACACTGTGCTCAAACAAAGAGCAGAGTAGAATGTATTCAATAAGAGCAGCGCCTGCAGAAGAATGCTGCCCTCAGGGACTTGGGGGTTATTACATTTGCTTGGGGATTACTTTGTGGTTTGATTTTGTTTTGTTCACTCAATTTGTGCCCAACTGTCAAGGGCCAGTTGCAATTTTCTTGTCACTTAAAGAAAGTCATAGGTTGATGTCAAGGAAAATCAACTAAAATAATAAACTCAGGAGAGTCCCCCATGTCTGCCGGGTGACTCTCTCCTCTACAGATGTCTGAAAGCGTCAAGTCAGCCTTAACTGTTTACGTAGCTTCTGTCTTTGTTTTTGCCAAAGGGTCTCACATTTATGCTTGTATTTATGCTAAATGTTGTGCGCTCCACCACCAATGAAAGTGTAAGCTTGGAAGTGCCTATTTTCATTAACAAAGATGAACATGCCATAGCAAGACATCCAGGTTACTTAATATGTGATAACTTGGCTTTGAATGTGTTATTTGCGTACAAATGGAAAACATTTCCCTGAAAAAAATATGAAAATTCTGTCTCTTACCATTGAGAACTAGCTCTAAGTATGTGGCCAAAAATAAATGCCTTACAGTTGCCTCAGCAAGGACATAGTGGAATTAAATAAGGAAGAACAATGCTGCCTTTAGGTGTTTGGGTTTATTACAATTGCTTAGGGATTAGAAAATGTTCTTACAAAGTAGTCCTTGGGTTCAATGAGACATAAACACCATTAAAATCAAGTATAATGAGATGACATGGTGTCCTCCAATGGGCATGAGCTGTGATGAGTCTTCAGATTTACAAGGTCCCCTTTCCCCCTCTATGTTCATACCCAGAAAGATGTGTAGAAGGTTTCATATCTTTCTTTAAGGCAAATCTCAGTTCTTTATTTCATCTGAACTTGGAAAACTATGGTTCATCTGAACTCTATATTGAATATGGAGATGGGATCTCTCTCTCTACTCTGTAGAAAGCATTTATAGCCAACTATCTACAGTTGCAAGTTTAACTTTTGAAGATTTGATTATTTACACATGTATTAATACAGTATTTTTAGGAATCTCTAAAATACTTTTTTTAACCCGAGAAAACACCCCTACAGAAATCTCCAGTTCCTCCAGTGCATAGCAAGAGTCAGCTTCCATTGGAAAGTGATGATAGAATTGCACTGGAGAAAAGAGCGCTTTTAAGATTCTCATCTTCTAACCCAGTTAAGACTGATTTCAAATAACTGTCTTGATAACAGCTACAGAACATGTGTTTTGCATCACCTTAAAGCCAGTATGCTTTGCTTGAATCAGATATTTCTTTATACACAATGCTTCCTTTGGATGTGACATGTTGAACCTTATTCCTTCATGACAGAGATAACTTACTTCTTTCACATCCACTGCCCGCAAAACCTGGAGGACAGCCACACTCTCCATTAACATGGTTACAAGAGACTTCTGAAGGGCATTTGCAAGGCTCAGCACAGCTATTGCCGTAGAAGCCAGGCAAGCAAGCTGGAGAAACACCAAACAAAAATCAAACATTCTTTGTAGGAAGTACAGATATGTTTAAATAATATGACTCAGATGTGTCCTATAGTGTTATTGAACTTAAAAGTTATAAATCAGTCCTGTTGGGGTTAGGGACACAGGACCCCAGTGAAAGTGAAAAAATATTTTAAAAGAAACCCTAAAAGAACACATTTCTAGGTATTTCTATGGTCAACTTCTGGTTGCACGGGAGGACCTAAAGATTCCTAGAGACCATGAAAGTTAAAACCACAAATATGGAGGCCCAAATCTATATAAATGGGTGAAGAAAGCAGGAAATGTTTTCACCTTAAAATGAAGGTAGGGAACTTTAATGCAGAATAATAGAGGTGTGAACTATTTAGATATTTATGGAGTTATGAACATTACAGAGAAAAGCTATTTTTAGAGCTCAAAAAAATCAATGTTGCTGTAAGGAAGTTCAGAGACTAAACAACTGAAAGCAATGTATCATTAACCCATGGAATTACTGCTATTCATTCATTGCTGCTCACTTCAACTGCCTAAGAGAGAGAAGACAGAATGAGAAATACAAATGTGAAAATTTACCAAACTCAGCTCTGTTGCACTTCTCTGAATCTTACTTCAGTTCTACAAAACTTTTTCTGCACACAACATTTATATATTATTTGGGCCCTTTTTTGGAAAAAATATATTTTCTATATGTGTTCTACTAAGATACATTTTAATATTATTTTACTGATTATTTTAAATAACCTCTATCTATCATCTATCTATCTGTTATCTACTAATTGCCGCAGATGTACATGGCTCCTTACAACTGAAACAATCAAAAGCACTGTGTCCTGCCAAAGACATATAATCTAGAACATACATGTGTGTGTATGTTTTTAAGGATACATGCACACAGAGGAAGAAATGGAAGAATAAAAATAGAATATGCAATATAATGGTAAAACAAATTATGCAGATTGAAATACAGAAAACAATATAGTATCAAACAATGTGGCAAATTAAAATATACAAGATTGAAAATAATATTACAATAAAATTAAAAACATATTCAAATATAAGCATTTTTAGTTATGTACATTTTTCAAGCATATGCATGGATTCTGCATGTGGTTTTTCTACATCAAAATGCCTCACAAGACTGAGAAACATAAGAAATCCTAAGGCAGAATATTGCTCATCTTCTTGTCATGTTTTGGTGTCATGATGAGGATACTTTTGGAGAAACTTTAACCCATTTTTTCAAGCATTTGCACAGATCTTAGTGAGTCTATTGCCTAACCCACACACACACCATCTTCTGCGTGGCAACATCTCTCTAAAGCACCATATATTGAGCTTCTATAAATTATTCTGTTGCCACCTTTGGATCTCCTTTTCAAATATTGCAGTATTAAAATTCCTAAATCACGTGATTTGAACCAGTAAGTAGCTCTAACTTATAATAAAGAATCTACAAACTGTTTTGGAGAGAGTTTTACTATAAGTAATCAAATGTTTTTATTGACTACAGTATATTGACTTTCCTGCTTAGGGTACTACTGAAAACATTTTAATCACTTCTTCAGGTATACTATTTGTACATAGTTATGAAAAGAAATCACACAGATTGCTAAAAATATAACATCAATACAAACAATTTTAACCCCCAAGTCCCAGGGTAGTTTTATCACGTTTTCTAAACCTTAGTGAACAATTGTGGGTTTTGTTGTTGTCTAAAATGAAATGTTTTGGGAACCAGCTTCACTTCTCCACTTCATAGCTGGGATTCCAGCTGCTTATGCAGAAGATGTATTTGTGATCATTAGCTCTCATTTATTAAAAAGCTGCAAGTGGTGAGATTTCAGCTATGTTAGGTCAGTGAGATTTCAAGTAAGCATACTGCCAAAAAACAAACAAACAGGAACTTACGTTTATCACACCGTTTTCCTCTCCACCCCTTTTCACAGTGACATATTCCAGTCTGGTGATGGCAGGAGAAGCTGTGTTCACAGTCACATTGTTCCTCACATTGTTGGCCAAAATAACCAGTTGGACAAACTGAGAGAAAAATCAGATATACAACTTAATATAGTCTGTCTCTCCTTCTTTCTTTATGAACAGGAGGATAATTGCAGTGCAACCTTCAACCATCTCAGTTAAAGAGCCCAAAATTTATGAACACAGCTCCTTGGAATTACTAATGTTTTTACATGTGGAGCATCTGTAATTTGAGAAGTCTGCCTGTCACAAGACAAAACATTATAATAATCTCACAAGTGTGCAACATCTGGTGACTGGAGACATTCACATGTGATTTAATGCTTTGAGAATGCCTGAAATGTCTCTACTGCTTAGTTATAACTAATGTGTATGCACGCAAGCCTGCTTAGGTATTTTACACAACTCAGTTTGGAAAGCTGTTGCAGCATTCTCTACATATATATACATGTATGCATGCAGTATTACTTGTGATAAATGAAAAAAAATATAATAAATGAAGAATCTTCATCAGAGGATGTAAAACACCATATAATTGTTCCCCTCTTTAGCAAAACTGGTCTCTATCATCGCCCAAAAGAGCCTAAAATGGAAACATTGGCAGACACTATAGTATATACATCAATCCCCTATACTTATAACAGAAGCATAGAATTTACAGTATGTGCTCCCAGATGTTGTAAGATCCCATCTTCAATTATTTACAGCCAATATTACCAGCAGTGAGCGATAATGGGTGCTATAGTCCAACAAGAACTTCAGGTCCTCTGAGTCTATGCAATTCATCTTGAAAATAATTATTTTAGAAACCTACATAATTGTATACATTAGGATTTGGACTATGGATCTGAAACAAAAGACTTCAGTAAATCTAGATTCTAACAAACTATATTCATTGAAAAATATGACTCTCGCCCAGGATGACAGTCAGTCCTGATTTTTTACTGTGGGATGGGTGAAGTGAAATAAACACATTCTTGAAATCTATAGATACAGAAATGGAAGGAGGAAAAGGAGGAAGAGGAGAAGGAGTAGTAGTGGTGGTGGTGGAGGAGGAGGAGGAAGAGGAAGAGGAGGGGAGGAGGAAAATATTGGGATGAAATTGCCCATGACAAGTGGAGATAGAAGTGTTTTATTAACTTGTCCCATTGAAAGAGGGGAGAGTGGATTACATATATATAGCACAAAGCCATTAGCATGAAAGATCTATAAAAAGGGAAAGAAAAGCATACCTTGAGAGGGGAAAAAAGAAGATGAGTCACCAAACCTGAAAGGGCAGAAAAAAAGAAGAGGAGAGTGAACCCTAACCATTGATTCAGTATATAATGTTTTTAAGACGGAAACCCTGAATTCATTCTTTTGGCAGAATCTTATTGAAGTTGTATGAAAAATCAGTGGGATTGTCCCAGTACTGTTAGAATGGCAACCTCTGTATTCCTTTCAAAAATGGTGTGAAAGAGAGGATTTGAGTCTGCAGAAACAGTACATCATCACAAAATAATGTGAAATCAGTATTACAGGAAGCTTATCACACTGCAGGAACTTATACTAAGAAAAGGGATTGTTATTGGACATTGTATTAAAAACACTGAAATCAGGCGACTTACCGATATCACAACGATCTCCATTCCAGCCTGGATGACAATTGCATTTCCCAGAACGATGATCACATGCTCCACCATTGTTACAACTGCAGTTTGGCTGACAGTTCTCCCCATATTTTCCAGACTCACACTCTATAAAAAAGACAAACAAAGTTTCACTTCCTGGTTATGAATAAGAAATCAGTCTTGGTGGCTAGCTCCACCAGTTTCAATAAGATGAAATGTAACTAATGTGATTATTGCTCACCACCAGAACTTTAGATGGTCCTGGATAGTAAATGAATTAATTAAACAAAGCAAGCAAAGTTTAAAATTGTTGTTGGAATGTACCAAGTTCACAGGCTGTTCCAGTCCAACCTCTGGGGCATAGGCAGTATCCAGTTGTGTGGTTACAAGTAGCTTGATTTTGACAGCTGCAATGCTCTAGGCAGTTCTTGCCATACCAGCCTGGAAGGCAAGCTGTGAACAAGAATGTATTTCAGTTTAACATGAACAGAAGCTATACAGAGGTTATCTTTTTTAAATCAGGTCCAAGATCCTGGATTGGAAGATGTATTGCACATGTATAAGTGCAATATGACTCCTATTCAAACCCTTCCAAACCCAACCTTTTCTCTGCTGGAGCCCCCAACACACCCATTTTTTCTGGTCAGAAGTGAAAGAGAGTATAGAAATGACCTACTGTTTTCCTATAGGTAGATGTACAGCAATAGGCATCCTCTAGGGCACTGAAAGTCCCCGAAGATCATCTCTTTGCTGTATCATAAATCTTTATGAACCAAATAACCATCTTGAGATGTGTCTCCAGCCAGTGGAAGGTAAAACGTTGTCTAATCCACTATTATTGCTGATAGCCTTAGATATTAATGCATCTAACTCAAATATGCTTTAGATCTGATATCTTTTGCTATACTGAGCAAGTGATGTCAAATCTTTGCTTTTGATCTAGTTCTTAAATCTATTTTTGAAGTGAAGAAATCATAAGAATAGGAAAAGAAGCTGCCTTATACAGAACATTTGTTGGCATGTCTAGGCCAACAGGTTAATCATGCTTTTCTTCGGAACTCTTGATGACTGTTTTGATATTATTTATTAGCTTTTTTTGTTTTGTTTTGTTTTTTCAAGACACCCACAGCTGAACCTGGAACCTCCTCTTTACTGAATATGGGTCAGTGGTTACTGTTCCTCAACTTGTCTCTGACATATTTTTGAAAATGATTTTTAAGTCCACCCTCCTATGGCAAAGCTAAGTTTTAGTCACCTTAAGTGCTTTTCCCTCCTCTTTGTAAGAAGAAAGACTGACATTAAACCTTTTAAAGTAGTGGTTCCTAACCTGTAGTCCGTGGACCACCAGTGGGCTGCAAGAAGGAAAATATGGTCTACTGCCTCACTATTACTATATCGTTGCCTCAAAACCATGTGGCAATGAAAGTGACTTATCTTGTGAAACCCTCTTATAGTGCCATGGCAATGGGGTTGTCAGCTGGGGAGAGGCTGACTACTCACAAAATATTACTATTACCACATCAGCTCTAGATTATTAAATATGGTTTTATGTGGGTGAGCAGATGGAGACTACTGGATGGCATGTGTTCTGTATCAGAAACTAAACCTGATGTGGTCTATCCAATGCAAATTTCTGAACCCAAATAACCAAACCAAATCTAAAGCTGACCAAAAATTAATTCGCAACCCTTTTGATATTATTGTTGGAGAGTGGTCCCTGGTCAAAGTGGTCCCTGTTCAAGTGCTCCCTGGTATAAAAAAAGGTTGGGAACCACTGTTTTAAAGGAACATTTAACTCAAAAAAAGTATAGAATTTCATTTCAGACAAAGGTGAACCAAAACAGATACCTTACCATGCATAAGCAATGCAGGAGGAAAATATAATGTAATAACATCAATTTGGCTCTGTGATACTTTAAAGAATTATTTTCATCTAGACCCTATTATGTGTTTTCTGTGACTATTGTAACAAAACCTGAGAGCCCCTTTGTTTGATAACCAAACACCAAACTCCTGATAGCAATGTATAATACTTTAAACTCAACTGTAAATGCTAATCATGGCATACCACATACAATTATTAGGTATTGTATTAAACATGATTATAGTTTTATCTGGCTTCACTTTTCCTATGTGTGCGCGCATATGCATCCAGCTTGTTTGCATATCAAATAACATTTTAAACAGTAAAGTTTATTAGAAAATAAATGACTGGGCTTGCATATTACTTGGCAACACACTTGGATTTTGTTTTGCAGTCTTCTTGAAACTGAAGGACCTAAATCTTGCAAAAATTAAAATAAAATTCTACTTAACTTCAAGGTGAAGAGCAAGCCATTTATTGTTCCTTAAATTTCACTCCAGATTATGGCCACCCCATCACAAGGTTTTCTTGGCAAGGCTTATTCAGAGATGTGGAATTGCCTTCCTCTTACACTGGGGATAGTGTGCTTCATCTAAGTGGGGCTGAATGGGGATTTAAATATATCTCTGATTTCTAGTCAAACTGCTGTGGCTCAATGCTATGGAATCATGGAAGTTGCATATCTTTAGCATCTCTTCCAAAGAGGGCTAGTATTTCATCAAACTATATATTCAAGGATTCCATAGCATTGATCTATGGGAGGTAACATGGCATCAAGCTGCATTAATTCTACAGTGTAGATGCAATTAAAGAGAAGGCAGGAAAATGAACCATAAACCCAGTCACAAGACATCAGATTAATTTGGAACTCAGTTCAAGGAGGAGAAAAGATAAACATTGCTTTGGGATGGGTTGTTAATTTCAAGTCACAAACATGTGTTTACACATAGATTAAGATCCTAACAAAATCTAATTTTTGTTTTTGATCTAACTATAAATAGAATAATTTGTATGATAAATCAACCACCTTTGTGCTATATTTCAGATTTTGCCTGTATAAAACGAACAGCTCTACACAACAGTCATCTTGTTTATCTGCTGTCTGGCAGAAGACCTTTTTTTTATACAAAGCAGAGTTTTCTTCTTTTTCCAACTGGCAAAATTAATCCAATACAAAATGAGAATGAGATCATATCAGGGCCCTCTCAGAGAGACACAACAAAGGTGTTTTGGACAAACCAAACTAAAATAAACATGCACATTTAATTTTAAAAATCTTCCTTAAATCACACACATTAAACCTTTCTGACAATGTTGCTCAAACTATTTGGTCAAATAAAATTATCAAAAAGAAATGCTTGTGTGAATGTTCTTAATTCAAATGATGATGCTTAATTTACATGCATTATTCTTGACAGCTTTATTTGAAAGTAGCCATGGAGTCTTAGGCTTTGTGTGAATTGTCTTTCAAAGCCACAAAGAAGAAAAACTCAGCACAGTCCTGACTGAGTAGAATGATGGGATCTGCTTCATCCAGAATTAGATAAGTATCTTGAAATAGTCTCGCCAAAGTTTAAAAATATTACTTTTATAGATTCCAACTCCCAGCCTACATATTGGGGGAGATTTCGGGAGTGCAGTCCAAAACCAACCAATTAACCAACAAAGCCTTATTTGCCCCTAATCTGTGTCTACCCTGTTATTTTTTCCCCAAGTTTTGCTAAATACAGCACAGACCCCTTCCCCAACTAAAATCAGAGGCATATTTCAATCTCTATCTATGAAGACATACAGATTTTTCTCAATAAGCTCCCAGAGCAATAAGCAGTCAACCTCCACACAACTGCCAAAATTTTGGGCTAAAATTGTATTTTCCTTGTTCCTTTGCCAACTCAATCAGAGTCCAGAGATGCTTCTTGAATTGCTTTTCCATGGAACTCTAATGCAACGTCATCTCTTCCTTTATAATGATGATATAACTCATATATTGGAAGAGACTAGAGAACTTTGTGATCTGAGAGGGAAGGCAAGTGGCAGCATGACTGAGCCAAAAACTCCCAAGTCACTTTGACTTGAATCACTTAGAAAGTAGGATCACCACAATTGCAGACCTCCTCCCAGTGATTGCTACTTTTGGGCATCATTTCCCAAGAGACCCCTGCAAGCTATATCATGGAGATGGGACTAAAGTTTCATATCCATCTTATAGACTGAATATAATTTTATGCACATTATTTTAAATAATTTATTCATGAAACCACGTTTGTGTACAGTGAAACATCAGAAAACAAATATTTCAATGTCTTAGCCACCCATGTGGACAATTTCAAATTTTGGAGTTTTTCAGATTTCGGATTTCCAGATAAGAGATGCCCACCCTGTATAAGATATCATTCTAGCTTATTTTCTTATCTACAAGACAAGATGAACCATGTTTGATTGGACCATCTATTTTTGTCTTCCACATCCTTTGACCATCCATGGCAGGTGGAAATGTATTCCTTCCTATGGATCATTTCTCAACCTGGCAAGTTCTGCCTCTACTAGTATAGAACTTCTGTAGCTGTAAAATGCCTAAACAAATGCCTTTGGGTGCCATCTAGAGCTCTACATGAGAATAGCAGGTTGTGTTGGGGGACAAAGGAAGAAAACTTGTCTTCTTTGGGCTGCCTTGACCCACTGCTGATCATCTCCGTGTGATCCAAGGCTGGCCACAGTTCAGTCCTGGACATATGCCACCCCAGCCCGGGAACCTATTTTAAGCACTACTCCAGGACTCTGGAACAACATCATCACTTCTACCAATGCTGAACTCACTCCTTGAGTACAGACAACTTTGTAGACCAAACAGGACCACCTAGCAACAAGCTATTCCCTCCACAAGCTGGAGGGAAACCACGGGTTTGCAGAAATACAATAAGAAAAAAAAAAGCGCAAGGAATGGAATTGTTTTCAGTGTTATATATTTTTTGCTCTTTCCAGTGTGTCTTTTAAAAGTAATCTTGCTGTGAGTGACCATGAATTCTAGTCTTGGGAAAGAGGTGAAACAGAAACCAAATGAACAGGAAAATATTTTTCAAAATCCCAGCCCAATGAAGACTGGGAATCCTTAGCAGTCACGGAGTGTTGCTTACCTATCCAAAGAGAAAACCACAAGAATAGTGGACTGGGGTATCCTAAAGGAGGGCATGGTTCTGTGGAAAGGGAAGAGCTGAGGGACAGGTTAGGGTGACTGGCAATATCTATTCCCCATTCTTCTCTTTCTTCCCATCTCCTACAAACTGTCTTACTCTTGTGTGGAGAAAAAAAATGCAAAGATGGATTTATTTTTTCAAAAATTCAAATCACTTCTAGGGTGTATAGAGGTCATTTCTGCCAGATAAAGAAGCCCCCATTTTGTGATTTTGAAATGTCACAAAATAATATCCAGGTAGCATGGGGGTATGCCCATAACACTAGGGGGAGGAGGCTAGTCCAATTTAGAATTATAGAATCATAGAGTTGGAAGAGACCTCATGGGCCACCCAGTCTACCCCCTACCAAGAAGCAGGAAAACTGCATTCAAAGCATCCCTGACAGATGGCCATCC